ACATGAAAAATGTTATTACTCACGGGTATAAAAAATATCCGTGGTCACTATGCTCATCAAAAATTCTACGTATACAACCAGTCACCCGTGCCGATTCGGACTTTTCGTCCTACGACATGATTGAGTGACCGGAGGAACATAAATGCATGCGACTCACAGTGAAGAACGATATCATCTGCACTGGACCAAGGAAAATCGTTGTGAAGATCCTCATCAAGCAGATACTATTGAAAATCCCATTGTGGAAATGAACGCCGTAAAAAATTTCTTGAAAAACACAAAGACACAGTGTTATTTGTAAAAATTTTTTTTAATAATGATAAAAATTTTAATGATGATAAAAATTTTAACAATGATAAAAATTTTAATAATGATAAAAAATTTAATAATAATAAAATAATGATAAAAACTCTAATAGGTTGAAATGTTTTTATTTTATAGTTATAATTTTACATTGGACTTCAATGGAAAGAGAACTGTAGAGAATAGAATTAATTCACAATGTGCTAAAGTACTTACATTCTTTGTTTTTGAAGCATCGTAAAATTGTTAAAGGATTAGGGGAATTGGAGACTGTAGAGAATCTGTAACAAAACATAAAACATTGGAATTTTTATTTAAAAGTAAAGATGAATCTCAAATTCGAGATAATGAAAGATTCTTACATTCTTGGCTTTGGAGCCAGCGATGAATTTTCCCCAAAACATACCAAAAAGTTGATGCTGTTAAGCGTCTGTAGCAAAATGTCAAACATTATATTATATCAAATTTGGAAATTTGAGTAAACTGAAGTAGAATATATAAAATTACTTACAATTTTGACCTCTTATAGAGGCCTTATCCTCTTGAACACTGACTCTAATATACCGAAAACGAATGTTGAATAAGGAAAATATCAAAAAAGAAAAATAAAAGACTATCAATGTGCGCGTTTGAGATACAATCGGCGAACTCACTGACTCTAATTTCGTGAATTATAATATAAATGAATTAGTAATCTAATTAATGAGAGCCATTTTGCTCAGAAAAAATTTACATATTGCGCAACAAACACTGACTCTATCGACCACATTGCGCGCGGTCACAAAAATTTTTTGAAAATAAAGTTGATTAGAAGGAGAAGGGCAAAGAGTACATCCATTTAAAAAATATTGCTTTTTCCAGAAAATGGTTATAAACTTGAATACGCACTAAAAATATTAGTTGGAAATTATGAAGTATTTCTCAATATTTGCAGAAATATTTGTAGAAATTGTATTCTGAATAAGAATAGTAAGATACCACGTTACGTAATATAAATATTCGAAAATGATTGCACAAATAAAAATTTATAGTTAAATGTATTTAAAAAATCATCGCGTTAGCGTTCGGAAAAAGTCTATTCTAGCAAAATAATATGGTAAAATACAAAACTTTTGAATTTAATAATCTAATACAAGAATATACATATCCATTTGCAAGTATATACCATTAAGCTACTATGATCTCCATATTCAAAATAAAATATTAATTTATTTAATCTTTTCCATTTTCATTCTTATATCCTACATAATTACGAAATTACGTATTGTGATTGTATTTTAAATATATATAAATTATGCAAATGTTACTTGGAATGAATAAAATGTTATCAACTTTCCGTAAAAGTTCATCAGAGTGTTCATTAATGATCATCTATGCTATTTGCAACCAAGGAATAACCTGTACAAAAAGACACCAAAAGTTAGAATAAATATCTCCAATGAAGGCAAATATGTAAAAGTGAAACGATAATCAATTTCAAATTCTATTACAAAAGCGTACGATTACCAAGGTACTGATATTCGTAAGAGTGAAATCGGTGATCGAAGAAAAATCAGCACGAAAAGATTCAAAATCTTACTCGATTTCGTTGCCTTGATGCTCAATGAATCGTCAAACACACGTGTATTAATTAAACGATACTATTAATAAGGTATAAATGGAAGTAAAAGAGTGTCAAAGAAGCAACGCCATCGAAGAGACGCCACCGATAGATTAGAAAAAGTTACAAACCTAATGCGACGTAATGCATGTTGTTGTCACGAAATTCGACAGCCGAATGACTCTCCGCCACACGTCTCGTCCTTCAATTGAGAAAATAGTAGGAGATGGGGTGATCCTGTCTAAACAAGGACGATAAGTAAGATGAACATAAACATTATGTTCGTGTTGTTGTTTTTACTTTCGAGCTCCAAGGCCTTCTATTTTCATTTTACTTGAGAACTGAACAATTTTACTATATTACGCAGTAAAATTATTATTTTAACCATTAAATACGTACATTCTTAATAAACTATTGTTGAATTTAGTATTAGAATTATGAATTACACAGTAAACGAGGTTAAAGAATCAACAAATAAGTAGAAAATGTTATAATAGAAGTGTGTGTGTAAAAGCATATAATAAAATATAAACATATATATATAACAGTGTAGTTTGTCAATTACAAGGTTACAATATTTGTACTGGGTAGAACTGAAATTAAATTTTGGGATAAAATTATAATAAATACCTTTAAGCATAATATGTTCTATTTAAATGTTTGTATGCTATTATTTCTTTAATTGTTGAAAATCATGTGTAACAATTATTTGGTTAATTTAATCCCCTACTCTAAAGGAATAAAAATTATACACTTTATCGGTAATCTGCCAAATCTCGATGAATTGAAGCCATAAATTTTAATTCAAATTTTAATTGAAAATGTATGTTTTAATTCGAAAATTCACAACACAAACACAAATCAATATTTTTACCTGAGAACCGCTGGATACTTCTTTCTGGATGATTTTTCTGGCTTCCTTCTTTACAGATGAGGCGTGCTCCTTTCCGCCATGTTTGCTGCTTAAAAGTCGATCGTGAGAAATATCGATTATTTCGATAATCGTAGGAAGTATATTGCGTTTTTCACCGCAGGGGCGCTGTAATCGCCACTAATTAATCCCAATACGCATTTCACAGGAAATATTAACTTGGAATAAAGAATAAAAAACTCTAGTCTGAATCAAATACAGAAAATTCATAAGAAACTCCTAAAAAAGAACGAAAATTATTACTAAAGAATAGAAAATTATTATTTCTTTAATTGTTGAAAATCACATGTAATAATTATTTGGATAAATCTGACCATGAGTTGAAACTAAAAGTGAACATTTTATCTTAAAAATTCACAATACAAACACAAATCTAACAGCTATTGATTTATATTTTTACCTGAGAACTGCTGCTTCGGAAGATACTTCTTTCTGGATGATTTTTCTGGACAACGCTTTCTTCTTTAGAGATGAGGCGTGCTCCTTTCCGCCATGTTTGCCGCTTAAAAATCGATCGTAAGAAATATCGATTATTTCAAGAATCGTAGGAAGTATATTGCGTATCACCGTTGGGGCGCTGTAATCATTACCTTAAATTTAAACTCAATACGCGCGCATTTCGCACGAAATGTTAACTTGGAATAAAAAATAAAAAAACTCTGGTCTAAATCAAATACACAAAATTCATGAGAAATTCTGAAAAAACGAACGAAAATATTCATACACTAGATAAAAAGTTGTCAATACTTTAAATTGTTCTAATTTCGTGAATAAAATTGCAGAACAATTAAGTTGATTTTACTTTAAAGAATGAATTACAGTAAATGTTTTAATATATTAAAAAACAATTAATTCAATGAGATTATTATAAATAAATATATAGAACAATAATCCCTCGAATATTGTAGTGTCCAAATATTAATAAGAATCACTGTATCTATATTGTCTTTTATACCATTGTCTACGTGAGAACATAATATACTAATTCTAAGATCTCAAAGTTTGTGAATATTTACAATAAATCCGGTAGATGAACCACGATTTCTGCGGGGTTAAAAGCCTCTGTCTGTTGTTAACTATTTTCTTCTGAAATTTCATCGCATTCGGTACGCCACAATGGCTATCCAGTCTCGTTTATACTACGTTCGCGACGCGAATAAATTCATTGGATCTCGGAACAACAGGTAGAGAGGCTCGTTAAAATGTATGTCGTGGCTGGCGGTTTTATTAAATTAGCGACGAACGGTTTCTTCGTCGATTCGATTTAAAAGCAGGCAACAACACGCGCTGGTCGACTAGTCGTGGGGCCAAAGTAAAGCACGCAAAGCCAGAGATGGACTCGATTTCCTTGATCCAACGCCCGTTCTCTGTGCCACGTCCTTGTGTATTTTATTTTTCCCCTCCACTTTCTTGCTCCACCGTATTACATTGTAACAGCACTTTAGTTAATTACCTTGGAGCACACCAGCAGATCCAGCCCTTCTCCGTTGTCCGTCCACTCTTTATGCATATCCTTCTTTATTTCCTTTTTCCTTCAAATGGTTTTCGATACTCTTCACTTTGTACTATTCTTGATAATTCTGCTCTGTGGAGCACGATTCCAGATAGGTAAATACGGGACACGAGGATCGTCGAAAGACGGAAGAAAAATATATATATACAAGGTGTGTTGTAACTGATGATACAACTGACTACGAGATGATTCTACAAAGAGAAATAAATTGATAAGAGGGATGAAATATTTTCATTTAAAGCTTCGTGAGCTTAAAAAAATCAAGTTTGAAAATTTACCAATTATATCTAATTTAGTTAATCAGAAATGAATAATGGACAAGAGATTATTCTACCTGCGAATATAAGTCAAAGGGATGTAGAATACCTTTATAGAATTTTTTCATAAGACACTATGTTCTCATAAAAATTTATCAAGAAAGATTTATCAAGGAATTTGTCAAATATACGTTTACTAAACCAATTATTAATTAAATATACTCAAAATCTATTTTCTTGAAAACGAGGCCTTAAATGAAAAAACTTTGTTCTTTTTTCGACTTATTTTTTCAATCACTTCCTATTTTATACTAGTAACAGTATAGATAGTATGAACACCCTGTATATCTGTATAAAGATATACAGATTTTTCCGCAACGTTCCCAAAGAACTTCCTTTTTCCTCTTTCTTTCTTCCTTTTTCTTTCTCTCTCTCTGGCTTTTCTCGTCCCGACGACCTGCTCCTTTTAATTTTCCATTTGTCATCCCACTTTTCGCTTTCTTTGTTCTGTCCTGGTAGCAGTGTAAAGTAAACATCTTCGATGCTACACGGTTCGTCGATAATCGATCGAATGTTTGTACAACTGCAGCAAACTCACAACTTGGAAAAATCCATCGAATCGTTGCAACGATCCGTAGAAACAATTTAAATCTATGGATATTTTTTTGACCTCTCCAACTGTTTCATTTATTTTCCATTATGAATCACATGAATCATTCCGATATTCGTAATTTCAGAGCTGGACAGAAATTTAATCAACGATGAACAATTAAACTCTTATTTTAATCATTTATCGCAATAAGCACTTAGATTTCTACTTTAATCGTTAATCACAAGTAAATACCTTTTAATCATTAAGTGCGATGAAAGATTAAATTTCTACTTTAATCATTTTTATATGATGTTCAAACGTCTTCACAGCTTGACAATAAAATATCAGAAGTTACGTAATACAACAACACAAAGTTTTATCATTTTTCTTCTTAAACTCAAAAAATGTGGCGCAACTGTTGAAGTTTGTTCTGGTACACGTGTATAAATAAACTACATTAAATACATTGCATATACACGTTTTTACACGTTCATGACCTCTAGATTACTATAATCTTATAGTTATAACACGGCAACTTCTGGTGAAAATCGACGATCTCAGTTTCAATTTCTAATTTTTCACAATTTTAAGAGAAGATATAACGTTGTGTATCAGATGAAATATCTATTATTAGTTGACAAAAAACGATCCATGCTATACACCCACCAGCTTCTACATTCGCTACAGAGAATTCAAATTTTGCTGACGCCTTTGCTCACACAAAATCACACGTGAAACATATATCCGAAACCAGGCCAGTGACTCGCAAACTCGACAAAACATTCGTGTATCGAAAAAATGTTTATCATTTATCAATTTTTTTAAAAAGCGATCCTGTTGGTTTCTCCTCTCTTATCGATAATCCTTTCTAAAAGACATAAATAAATAAAGACATAAATTAAAATATCAAGAGAATGTTTTACATCGTTTGCTTTATCTTCGTGATCTATACAGAAGCGGACAAAAGTTTAAGACAATTGAATACATTATGAATATTAAATGATGAATAATGCATAATTGCATACATTCACACTTTATTTACGAACGATAGGATCATTGAAGCTTGGTGGTGAATATACAAAGAATTTAAAGAATCTTTACACTCACACAAGAAAAACACAAACAAAATGGAACAACATTTCATAGAGTACATTTCAATATTTCACCCAAAACAATGTTTGAATTTAAATCGATTCAATATCACGAAGATGTGCTACTTATTAAAAATAAGTAGCATGCAATGAAATATTAGTTCTTTTTTTACTTTTGTTACTTGTGCTGATATAAATAATTGTTTTTAAATGTCATTGCTAAGATTTCATTGCTAATCCTAAGTATTCTTTATGTTGTATAATTACAAAGTAAATTGCTAATAGATTACAATATGTTGTATAATTACAAAATAAATTGCAATAGATTACAACATGTATACGTAGTTAATTTTTTACTTATATCCTATTTCTTGAATTATCTTTATAAAAATAGAACCTCAAGTTGTTCATCATTTAGTATATATAATATAACAGAGAATCTATCAGTGAATAGTCGTACTATATTACTTTTATCTGATACTGTATAAACACAAGAAGAATAAAAATCAAACTAACGATAACGAAACGAATGTTCTGTCCACGAAATAGAGTCGTGCTCCGTATTACCTGGCCTTGTATTTATGAAGTTCCAGCAGCGAAGAAGCCCCTGCCATAAATTCTCCATCGAAATCTCTTAATCCCTCAAGCACCCTCGGCGCAAACGGGGGCAGCCGATAACGAATCCAGCAAATCAAAATAAACGATATCGCATCGTGAATATCCGTCGCAGAGCGTGGCATGAAATTGATGCCTACCGTTCTGTTGGTCCTGTTACACCGACCAAAACGCGATATACCTTTCGATCCAGTTTGTTCCAGCGACACACAGATTCTCTAGAAACTCGTGATGGCCAGTGGTCATGGTTGTGGTGACCGGTACAAGAATGGAGAAAATTACAACCTCTCAAATGGACGACGCCGATGGTTGCCGCAGAATCTAGGTAATTGGCTGAACTGCATCGTTCCTTCGTTCCATTCTTTATCCTTTCTTCTACTTTTCCTTTTCTTTTTCTCCTCTTTTTTCCCTTTTGTTTGCCCTTTTTTCAGTCGCTTTGTGGTCGTAGTCTCAAGAACTAAGAGAAATAAAAAGCAAAAGGGGTAAAAAGTCAGGCACTTTTAAATACAAACGGAGAGAGAAAGATTTCAAGTGTCAATCGGCCTGCGTTGTTTAATTCATGAATTCGCTAGCGGCAACCCACCTGACAGTCAGGAAAATCGTCTACAAATTACTAGTACAAGAACGACGCCAAAAGCGAGACAAGGTACGCCAATCTATGTATGTTTCGCTACTTCGAAACAATTTCTTTGGAACAAAAAAGGAAAACAAAAAGAAGTAGTAGAAAAAGAAAAAAAAGCAGAGGGAGAAAAAAAGAAGCGAGGCTTTGTATTAATCCAACGCGCAAATTTCCGAGATCCGCGTTCATAATGCGCGCACGAATTGATTGGATATCCACGATACGAACGAACAAGCGAACCGATGCTTATATTGACTTTTAATTTAAAAGCGCGATCGCACCGATACGATTCGGCAGATTTTATCGGGACTCGTTGCTAACTACTGTTTATCAAACACTAACGAAATCGTTCACCTGAATACCTAACATAATTGGAGATCTCTCGGCCGGAATCGAAGCACGCGCAAATTTAACGAGAATGGTTTCCACGCGAGTTTGAATTCGCGTATTCCGCGCGCAGCCTTCACTTCGCCGAGGTGGTGCGATGGGAGGGAAAAAAAATAATGCATTGCGAAACAAAACCCGTTTGCGTCTAAAGTGAAAAAGCTAACGCACCGTTGGATACGCTTCTATAGGTCGTTCCGAGTGAAAAATGTCGCGTCGATGCGTATCCAATTCACGATAATGTAGGAACCGAGCACAGGCAAAGAATCGACTCGATATTACGAGTCACAGGCTCTACATAGAGCTTGATGGCACCAGACTTTTTCCTTTGCAAACTCCAACTTTTTCGTGCGCGTTTCTCTTTGCTTTTCCTTTCTCATTCATCTCCGCGTATTTTCGTTCCTTTTTTCCAGACGTGTCTCTAGCTCTTATTTTTCACGCCCCCTTTGTTGAACATTCGCCATCTTCCACTCGGGAGACTAGAACAATTGTCAAAAAATATGAAATCGTTAAAACGATCGCTCGAATTTCGATATTATACGTGTTTTTACTAGAGACAGGATCAAATCCAATACATATTTACGGATCCAAGTCAAATTCGACGTATATGTTTCATTTCATGGATTTCAAACACTACTCGAAAGTAAATATGTATATTTCGATGAATACACTTCCAATATATTCATTGTTGACACGAGAATGAATCCTTCGTTGGTAAATAAAATCTTCATACTAAAGTCATTCACTTATAACATAACGTTCTCTGAACTAGAAGATCCATTGTCAATTGTTTTTAAATATTGTCTTCGCTATCAACTACCAAATTGTCTGATCAACTGTCAGTTACATATTTCATATTGGGCATGCGCGTCAAATGTACGCGCATGCGCATGCGTAAGGATCAGGCCCACATGATGTGGATGCAACATTGCTTATAGAAAATTGCTTTACTTAATCAACAAAATCTCACATTAAAAATCGTCCATTTGTCATATTCGCTGAATCAAAAGATGTATTGTTAATTGTTTTTAAACATTATTTTCTTTATTAACTTAGAGGTTAAGTTGCAGTTAATTAATTTAATTTCATATTAATTACACGCATGCGCAGTAAATACATGCACATTAGACGCATGCGTGAAGTATGTTGAATTTGATGCGAATTTGAAAATCAAAAAGACTCGACAAGTCAAGATGCTGATGCTTGTCTTATAGATTGGAACATGAGATAATCAATCCCATCCATTAGTATTCAAGTCTTCTTCAACTTGGAAATATTGTTCTCATACCCAGAAGAATTTGTGAAACATTCGAATTTATCTCGCTTGGATTCAAGTATACTTGTAAATACCATTAGAGATACTTATTAAAAATTTAAATCCAACAAAAAATTCGAACTTACTTCTAAGGTATCCAATTTCATCTCTAACTATTGAGGCATGTTAATTCCTTTTTTTTTTTTTTTTTGATGCATCCTGTAGAAAGCGTCTGTAGCCTAGATCGAAATAACGTAAGAAGGATTAAAAGCTTCCCGGTGGATTTCGTCGGAAAGTAGCAGTCGGAATATTTTCGCGAGCTGCAAATGGCACTCGGTCGCTTCTTTTTCGTCACGGCGCGCTCCCCTCCGCGGCGTTCCTTCTCTCCTTTTCTCACTTGCTCGTCCGGCGTTTCCTCATAAAAGTTAATAAGCCGGCTGGCTGGGTTCGTCGATCCCGAGGAAATTGCGGGAGACCGAACGCACCTTCCTCGTGACGTTTTATATCCCTATTCTATTCGTCGTTACGACCGACCTTCTCCCTCTGTTGCACTATTTTCCGTCCCCTTTTCCTTGTCGTCTCTCTGCCATTTGTCGCCATTCCACGAGTGTTTCTTCTGCCTTTTCTCCCCCTGTGTGCACGCGTATCTACACAAGACCACACAATTGGCCGTCCTTCCTCCTCATAGAAAGGGTGACATACGTGAAAGTATACAAGCTGGTGCAAAATCCACTCTAGCCGCGAGAACGAGCGGCTAAGCTACTTCCCGTTAATGACACTCGAACAGAACGAAATGCCTGCGGCAATATCTCAACAAAGGTGAAGATTCTTTGTTCCGTCGACTTCTTCGAGATTCCTCAAGAACACGAAGCTAATATTCTCCTTAATTGTCTCTTTCGCTGTAACTGTGTTAAGAACTTAATAATTGTGCTTGTCATAATTTATTTAAAGCTTCTACATACGTTGCAATTTATAGTTGGAGGTACTTGAAACTTGTAAATTGACGGAAACATTAAAAGAGCGTAATTAATTCACCAACACTTACAATCAGAACCAACAAAACAAAGATCTATATACTCCTGTCAAATTTCAAATATTTAAATCAGAAAAGTTTTGAACATTTTATGGATCTTAAATTAGTTTGTTAAAATTAGATCATTTCTCAAATATTGAGAATGGCACATTTGTTTAAAATAATAAACCGATCTTACAGAAATCTATATATCATCAATTATCATATACAATAAAGGGAATAAAACATATTCTGATTATAATTACAGCAACAAGAACATATGGTGTACTTTTTAATACATCCATAGTAACTGCATGATAGATTGCACCATTTTTTTAGCTCTCATTTGCTTATATTTGTCAATAAACAAATCTAATTAATAAGTAATGTTCTGCCTTAAAAAATGATAAAATATTATACAAAACTCTGATAATGAATATCACTGCGTCAATAGATTCCATCACTTGATGCCTTCATTCGAAGCTTCGCGATATAAAGAAGACTGCTATAATTTTAACAGACGACAAACTTTATTACTGTTTGAGATTCTTGGTCTGTCGCGACTGGAAATTTGTTCACGATCAATGCTATGTGATGAAACGAACTTAATGCGCATCTAGTGCACTTCTTTTTCCTAATTTTCATTCGGCAACAACCGGCTATCATCCATTCAAAAATTGAATTCACGGTTTATGCTTTGATCATACCACGAAATTAATGAGCGTCGACGGCATCATACTACCGACCAGTTCGCTTTAAAGGAACTCCATTCGCTCCTTCCACCTAATTCGAGCTCTTGCGGGCACCAGCTGTTCGTTTCATGCCATCATCAAATCGATCATTTATATCAACTTATTAAATACAAATGTGACAAGCTTAATTTATTATTTAATCCTCATTCGACTATTTTTCTAGCTTTAATTTGTCCCTTGGTGTCATAACAGTAACGCAGTAATGAAAAATGAATGCCTAAAATGAAAAGAGTTAAATTCTTTTACTAACAACAAATAGACTACGTTTCTCTTCAGTTACATTGGCCTGCAATTCCATATCATGATATATTAATACATATATTCTCTATAATTATTAGTTTTGCAAAAAGGCAATATGTTGCATAATTACACGCATAATTATAGTGTAATAATTATAGAACAGTGTACTTCTTATCAAGTACTCTAAAAATAAATGTTATTTGCAACTCTGGCGGCATATTTTGTTATCAAAAATGACAACATTTTTTGTTAGAAAAATAGATATCACAAAACCTCACCTTTGCTGCAAAGTAATGCAACATTTTATAAGAGAAACATAAACGGAAATTTTGACGCAAAGAACGAACGATGGTTGAATCATTCTTGCTGCTGAACGTCACGGTGGTAATTGCAAAAGTCGTTTCAGAATAAAATGCAACTTTGCGCCGCTTATATTCCGGCTCGTTCTCTGTTTATGCCATTTTCCTGACAAAATATCCGACGATATCGCCAGAGTTATTAAAAGCTCCATGGCGGCGGACAGCGGCACAGCGCAATTTCAATAATACCGCTTTAAGCTCGTCGCGAACATGCCTCGAAGAAGCGTCGCTTCTGGCACAGAACGGTCGCTAGCCAATTTATTATTCCGGTGGTATAACAACGCACGCCCAACAGGCCAGATGTGGCCTATTGACGCAAATTACGCTACCCGCGACGATATTTCTCCAAAAATTGCAACGACCGCGCCGTCGTTTCGCCACCCTTCTACCCTTCGCCACCAACCGCGACAGTATCGCGCGTTTTATTAGACATTACGATAACGTATGCATGAAACGGCGCGTATAATTTCAGTAAGGTGCATTCCCACAAAAATTGCGCGCAATCTTGGGAACGTTCTGCTTAGATGTAAGGCTCGAAGCGGAGGCGAAAGGAAGGAGGGTAGTTCTTATTAAAAAAGGCACGACACTAGGAAAGGAATAGGATCAAGCCGACATAGCTTTATTATCGTGGCTTTTAATATCACTCAAGAACGCGGCGCGTTTAATCCTCCTGATTCTGCCGCGTCGTATAAAACGACTTCTGTTGATTTATCTGTAAGGTTATCTGGGATTAACATATTAATAGACGCTAACGTAATGCTACATTTTTTCACTGCCAAAACGGAGCTACGGTCAATTACAAAAGTTTACATACAGTGGACAGAAAGAAATTTAAAAGATCAATGGCAATAAATGATCATTGGCGTATAATGAAATTTGTGAAATATTTAACAAGAGCAAAGAGCAATCTTAGAATAGACAATTGTTACTGACGTTGATAGAAAAATGATTATTTAATTAACACACCATCTTGTTTGGTTCGATGTTACCGTGAAATAATCTTGTTTTATTTATAGTCACATATCTTGTTTATTATTAGTAAAAAAAAAGAACAAGCAATCTTTTTCTAATTTATTTCATTATTTACCAACTAATATATCCCTATTTTTCTTTAAACACTTGAAATTTTAACAAGATGTATGTAGTAAATTATCGCGGGTGACTATGCGTACTATTTATCAGGAAATCTAATAATGTAAAAAGCATTAGAGACTATAGACAGTGCTAAAAATGATTTTATATTTTTATCATTACTCCAATTATAAAGGTCTGATATTTTCGTAAAATTATCGATCACGAACGGTGTCGAATGAGTATCTCTCTAAATTCACTCTAATCGGCTGTTATCGTAAATCTTTGATCTCGTTTCGAAAATCAGGAACGAAATCCGATAATGATCTCGAATCGCGTCGTCGTATCTACGGATTTGGCACACGGAAGGAAAGAAATTGAAATACGAACTGAAAAGGAATTCTAGCGGCACCCAGACGGGATCTGTTCCCGCTCAATTATTTTAATGTATACCAACGGCCGCGACGAAGGAACGGCGCAGCGTATCTTCTTTTTCCCGCAGTCAGCTCCCACGTTTGATCTTTGGTCCCCCGGAAAACGTTCGAGAGCTGTGCACGCTCGAGAAAGAAAGAAAAAGAAAAAGGGAGAGACAGAGCGAAAGGGAAAAAGGAAAGGCAAAATCGTCGCGAGAGAAACAGGGTTGCAAACGGAGGAAGAGGAGCTCATCGCGAAGATCGCGCGAGGGGGAAAAAAGAGGGGACGAAAGACACAGGGAAAATAGAGAGAGTTGCCGAGAGGCTGAAGAGACGTATGACTCCCAGGGGAAATTTAGGTGCGACCTCCATGTATCACGAAAGCTACAGTAAGTAGCTACGTAACCGACGCGGCGTACGTATACCGCATACTCTACACGTACGCGTGCGAGTGCCACCACCCTAAATATGCTGCTAGCGAGTTGCCAATCGCCGAAAATCGCCGCGTAAACGACGTACAAAACATTCGTACTGGTAAATTATTCGACCGAAAAGCAAGATTTACAGAAACCATCGAACTGCTAGGCTGATGGGAGAGATTGCTATACGAGGATCGCACTACCTAAGGAGTTAACTCCTTGTTAACGAGTATAACAATCACATACCTGTAAAAGGAGAAAACGGTCTTTGATACAATACATACGAATGATAACAATAATAATCAGACCGATGTATATAAAATTCGATAATGAAATCAGAACTCAAAAAAGCGTAAAAATTAATTTTTGAGCTAAAGTGTTAGCCTTGAGTTAGCCTTATCTTTACCCCGAGTTAATTCAGACCTATATTAATTCGTAATATGTTCATTAAGAGGCAACCCAGATTACGGATTAAAGTGGAGGTCAGCAGTTCCACGTCATTTAACTTATACCTGTGTAACAATGTATAACCAATGAATAACTCATTTAACTTCTACCTGTATGACATTATGTCGGGGTATCATTGAATTTCTAAATATAAGAGAAGAGATATCAAAATGAGAGAATTATCTAGCCGACGATAAGTACGCGAAAGAAATAAAAATAGTGTTGGACGTTTATGCTTGGAAGAAAAACAGAAAAAAAGGAAAACGATGACTCACCTAGAAAGTACATTTCTCATGGAAAAAAAATTTCCATCGGTGTAGAAGAATAGATCACGCGGCGTTGAAAAGCTCTCTTCGCGCGCTATAAAAATCCGCTATCAGATCACTTTCCACTCGAGGGGCGTGAAGCACGTATAATAGCGGGTAGCCACATTTTCCATGGATGCAAACCAGTGAACGACTACAACGCGCGCGAACAGGTGTAAAACCGAGCGATGCTTACACCTCTGCGGCTAGGAAATTCTTCTATTCACCTCTCTCTCTCTCTCTCTCCCTCTCTTTCTCTTTCATTCTCTCTCTCTCTCTCCTCCACTTTCATCATTGCTATGAAGCTCACTTTTAGTGATTTCGTTAATCTCGAACGTGCAACCGAATTTTCGGTATTCCACTCGATTCTGGGTAAAACTGATCAGAGATCTCTCCCCTTTTCGCTGATGAATTATTCGTAAATTACGTTTTAATTCGACATCCACTCGGACTCTTGAAATACTCCTACAAATTAAAGAAAAAAAAAAAAGATATAAAATACTGCAATTTATACAGCATGTGCGTATAACAAAGAAAAATAGAAAAACAATAATCGGTTTCATGCGACGCAGAAAGAAACGTCGGATGGAGGGCGAACACAAAGTATTCATCCCTATCGTCAGAGGATGGTCTTTTTTTTTTCTTTGTCGAGCGTGGAACACGAAAATCTCACGGCTGCGGGAGAAGAGGAGAAATGGTAATAAAATCGATGCCCTGGATCTGCCGTCGGTTTGTAATTGAATCAAATTAATCACCCTCGCCGACCTCGAGTCCGTACTCTCCTCGTCGTTGTAGCAGCGCATTCCGCTTACCATCTCCAATTAATAGCAGAAAGCTGCACGTTTTGTTGGAACTTTATAAAACGAATCCAATTACGGACGACCGTTTATCAAAGACTCAAAGCCACGGGAAGTTTCACCTCGGTTCGGAAATGACGTCGCCCACCTGTTTTCCTTCCTATCCCATCTTTGTCAATAATAAGAATGAACGAGAGGCAGATGAATGCGCGGTCGTCCCGCCATTAGCGCTAAGAGACAATCCGAAAATCAAGTCTAGATCTAGCTACAATCGACCATCTATTTGATAGGTATTCGGTTTGTATAGATTGCAAAACTAAATTCATAGGTAGACAGAGAAGATATGTTAGAGGCAAGTATCTTTCCATTGATCGAGCAAAATAAATAAAGAATCCTGTCAAGGATCAACCTACATTCCGATACAATTGAAATCCACGAGCCTCTCACCGACTGCCTAAAAACGTGGAATCTAACCGCAAGCAATAGGGCAATTCTACCTGTTTAGGTAAACATCTCGACTGTTAAATTATGCTTTCTGAAAGAACATATTCTATATATTTATATGGAGTATAAGAAAGTTGATTTTGATGATCTTTTATAAAGTTTCTGGCTTCCAGCGTGCGCTCTTACGAAACTGTAAGAATCGTCTGTACATGGTGCGACATCGACATTTATGTGATTTATGATGTATTGATTTAATTTAAAAATTAAAAACATTTTCATGATAGATAAACATCAAATGTTAATTAGAGAACCTATAACGTTATAAATGTGGTAAAAACAAACAGCTGAAAATATTTACGTAGAATATTTTTGTTATACAATTTACCAGACAATTCGAGTGGATTTCGCATAATGGTTAAGTGTTTTATGTAGGAAAACCCGTAGATTGTATTCCAAAACAAATACAAAATGCCTCAACATCAAGGTAAATAACAATTCCCTAATTGCTGCTGGATTTATCTAATGGATGCACGAAAAAACAAAATATATGGATGTTTAATTAATAAATCGACATTTACATTCCAAAAATTATTCAACATTATAGTAATGAATGGAAATTTCTTGGATGAAAATCGATGCAATTATCCTCTTACAGCTATAAGAATACATTAATTTTTCAAAAGAAAAAACAACTTTATTAAGGTGTAACGGGCAGAGCTATCAACTGAGTAGGTACCTTAGTATGAAAGTAGTTGCTTCTTAAATATTAAAAAATATTCTTTTACCAGAATATCCCCCATCTTTCGTCATAATTAGACTGACTATATGGAATTATAATTGTTACAGATTTATACATTACAACTTTATAAACAGTACATACTTTGGTTCAATGTTGTACGTCTACAAAATTGTTAAAATACATAACATTTTGCATGTCTTAGAATGCAATCCGCTTTTTGACTAGGAATTTTGGCATTTATAAATTACAATCATTAAGATTGTATAATTTGTTAAAACATGTTTTTTAATCATTCGAAAGGAACCGATATTAATTTATTACTAACTTGTTTCGTTTTTGTTTACATTGCAAATATATATTACATACCGCCAAACACCTGCAATATTAGAATTGAAAATAAACAGAATTTCAAATATTATAAATCGCAGGTATTCTATGGACGGTAAATATTAAATACTATGTGCGGATTGACTTTATATATGAGCAAATGTTGCTCAAAATTGGAAACTCTTTACAATATTTCTTACAACTTCTCTTAAAATGTATAGAGCTAACTGAAGAAGGAACCGCAGAATTCCTTACAAGTTATACTTTATACTATTTGAAAATGCAAGGATATTAACAATATCTCAATTGGAAATATTAACTACATCCTCAATCCATATACACATCGATAAAAACACATGTGCCCGATTTCACTACATTTATCCCATTAACGATATTAAAACTACAAATTCTAAAACATAAAAATGCTACAATACATATACATTTTACAAATCTAAATATTAGATTGTTTTGAGACCTTTTTGAAACAAACCTTTAAACATTTAATGATAAGAAAACATATTAAAAAAGTAAATTAATTAGAGAAAAATAATAAGAAATTTGTGTTTTCTGAGCTTGAAAATATTATACAATATATGCTATCTGAACTTAAAAGCTTTTCTAAAGTAATTTAGGTTTATCCACATATTGCTTGCCATGGTGGATAATAGTTGCAAATGTACCAGCCACCATAGCACCCCAAAACAGCATATACAACAAAATTTCAGTAGTATATCTCGAAGGCAGGATTATGTGAGCAACTAGCATGGACGATGCAACAAGAAGTACCAAGGGGAATGTAGCATAACGCCAATTTCGTTCCGATTCCAAAGGACATTGAATTAACGTACATTCGCCATCTTGCACAATATAACGACCCAAAAATAAGTCCAACGAATCCTGTTGAATAAATATATCATAACTTACTACATGCAAATATAATAGCCAGAAATCTTTCAGAAAAGAGACCTACTTGTCTGTAACCATCTGTGAAATTATTTTTATAATATCTTGTTAAAGAATTCAAGCCATCCCTCATTGCACCCAATTTAGTGCGCTTTCCAGTTCGTGTAAAATCTGTTTTTAATGCACCAGTACCTGAATACTGGACACTTACAACGTCTGCATTGTCAGTCCAAATCTAAAGTCAATATATTAGATTTAATAGATCAAACAAAGAAGCAGCACAATTAAAACTATATTCTTACCCGTTTGAAATGTTCTTCGATGCTAGGATGATCTTCGATTTTTCTAAGGATTTGCAACCTTGGTAACACATCATTAAGGACTCTTTTTGCAATCATACTTTGAACGACATTAGTTCTGTCAAGACAATCGATACAGTTGGTACGGAAAACACCGTCTTGCGCCGACAGCAATGTTCCATCTTCCAATAATAAAAAGTAACCCATCTGTTCTAATTCAGGAGCTAATCGATCGAGTAACACATTTAGCCGATCCCACCTTAATCTCCTGCATTCAGCATGAAAATCAAAACTTTCGTACCGAACATTTTGATTGTTGATTCGTTGTACAACATTGTGGTATGCTTTTTCAAGTACAGCTTCTGAACCATGTTGATCGATCTATAGAATCGTATAGAAATTACAATATTAGAATTGGACTATCATTAATAAAAATTCAACTACTTTTAATTTACTAATTTATACACTTACTAAATTGATTAGTATTTGCTTTCCATAATGAAATATTTGGGTTTCAAAATGTCGTGCACAGGCAGTCTGATGATCCTCGTGAGTACTTAACTGAGGTTTAGGTTTATACTTCAAATTTGGTGCCTGGTACCAGAATAAGGGGATAGAACCTCGCGTTTGTACAAAAGACATGCGATGTCCATTGAATTCGACTAATTGTTCTGTTTCTACATAATTAGAAACATTACCAGTAGTATCTATGCCACGTGAAAATAACCTTGTTCCTGCACGATGCACACTGCGTCTAGATACTACACCTAAATTAAATGATGTGCTACCAGTTACAGTAATAGTATTTAATGACACAACTAAAAAAGCATTAAGGAAAATAGATATATAGTTATATATTCCATTCTATTTTACTCTTATCTTCTTTCCTTGCAAGGATACATCCATGGATAATAGGCAGACAAAATTTATATTGTTCAGGCCTTGATGTTAGGTCTTGTAGGAGATAAGCATTCCATACAAATCTAAGATCTGCTCTGTCATAAAGTGGCATCTATTTTATAGAAAAAAAAATATACTCCATTGTAGTATACTCCAACAGAAATAATAATAAAGTGATAAAAGACAAAAAAGCCTGTGATAATAACCTGTAAAAATTCAGGAGGAGTATTATGAAGTCTTTGCATTGTATGACTGATATCATACGTATAACTAAAATAAAAATAAGGTGTATTTAATACAGATTTGATCATCTCTACATATGTTGAATTGTTTTGCGCTTGTTTTTCACTAAGATGTAGTGAAGATTTTGTATAGGGTATAATGTCTGTTGAAACTAATTTAAAAATCTGATGACCAGCTATTGTCCCAACTTCTGTAGCATCTGTTATCACTATAAGATACCGGCATGCTAATAGCTTTATAGTTCCTACTATACCCCATATTTTTCTACGACTTGCAGTTGATGGAATTTGACTAGCCGTACCAGCTGAAAGAAACATAAATGACACGTTTAAAAAATTTATTATGGAACGCAAATTATAAGTCGCCAATTACCTTGTGTATAAATTTGCTGACTCACTCTATCAACTACAAGCAACACTTTAGTTCCAATAGGTTCTACATAAAACTTTTCAGGTGTTATGTATCTGAAAAAAATAATCAATTGTCAATATAATTAAATATTAACACACATAAACATATAAGTCATACTCTACTGTTAATTACTTAATTCTTCTAAAAAAAGCACATAAAAATAATACTCACAAATATAATTTGTCATACACATCTGCGTGTAACTTCATATTGATATCTTCTGCTATGCGTATTACGAGAATACAAATTGACAAAAAAAATTAAACGCAATACGGGAGAAAAAAATAAACTATAATGACAATAAAAATCGTGATCTGTACATCTGTACGCGAAGTAGATTACGATATAAACTTGGCTACAGATTAATTGTCAAACTGTTGTCAACTTAATACTTGAATTAACATGTTAGAAACCTGTCAGAATCGGAGTAACCTCCACAATTATCTAATGTCTGCTATTCACCGCAGCACAATCCACTATACAGTGCTGGTACTGCATGCATGAGCGTAGTAAATGTTGAGATTTTAGGTCGTCATAGTAGCCAACATTTCCCTTGACGTGTCCGATAATACCACGTCAATAAATAAATATTTAATATACTGTTTCGGTGAAAATATCTCGATCAAATATAATAGAGACACTTAAAATATATGTGTATATGTTACAATTAATCACAAGAAATATTTAACTAAAAAAAAAAATATAAAAACTCACGTAGAAAATTTTAATATTGTGTTCAAATTGTACACCACGGTGTAATTAGCTCTTAGATGGAGAATCCATTCCACTAATTCGAACGCAAATTGATGTGGCAATATCGCTAAATAGATGGCAGCAAAGATTAAATTCCAATTGGATACTGTGCTTAAATAAATTTTTGAAGTTCTACGTGATACTTGTAAATATTATGCAACAAAATTTTACGTATAAAGTATGATCTGACGTTGGAATAAAACGAAAATAAATGTTTAAATTTTCCGACGTTCCTTATTAATAGATCACTAATTTACTAAGCACGTACAAAGCTATACGCGTATAGTGGAAGAAACAGCGGGAATTTACTTTGTATATTATTTTCTATAAGATATTAACAATTTTGCATAATAATTTAAACGTAATTTGAAAGAAAATTATCTTTTTTATATATATGTTCTGTTATTTATAAATTACATATTATAACGTGCTTGTCGATTAAAACGTGAAATAAATTGAAATAAATTGGCCTCCAGTACTATCAGTTGAATTCAAATCTATCTTCCAGATCAGTCGCCGACATTACAGCAATCATCTTAATTGACCTTAGTCAGTCCTGGATAGTTCGATACGTGTCTTCGGTCCTGCCATTCGAGAACAGTTTCGCTATAAAAAAAACTGACGTTAAAAATGGTAAGTCTTGAAAAATACGTTTATTGTTTTGTACTATAAAAATAATTAAAAGTATTGCAAAATTTTATAATTTTTGTGTAACACAATTGCTTAACCTACATTTGACCTTGAACAAGTTTTCAGTTATCAACTGTTTGCAATTTATTATTTATTAATTATTGTAACACTGCTAAGTAAAACCACCTGTATGAAGGGAATCAGAGTATAGAAGTTAAAAATGAAATATAATACTGTATTTTGAAAATGAAATGATATCACATAAAATTGATATTTTAAAAATTTTACTTCTATCTTTATGGTTAATTTTTAAACGATTTACATTAAGCGATTAAACTTATACTTTTTTAAATATTTTAGAGCGAACCAATAAATGTGGTGGTTACGGGAGCAGCCGGGCAAATTGCCTATTCTTTATTGTACCAACTAGCTGCTGGATCAGTTTTTGGTCCAAATCAACCAATTAATCTTCGTTTGTTAGATATTCCTGTTATGATGACAGTACTAGATGGAGTAATTATGGAATTGGAAGACTTAGCTCTTCCACTTTTGAGAGGTAAAAATATAGTTTATAATTACAAAATTGTATCAACATTCTTTCGAAATATTTAATTATTTTATGTCAGATAAATAGTCTTTGATAAGTCAAATCTATAAAATTATAAATTAATACAATCGTGTAAAATATATAAAATTATAAAGTCATGAATCATTTCATATGACATTATGTAATATCAATATTTAAGTAATGTCATTCATATAATTTATGCAATGATTATAAATAGAAAACATTATGCAATATCAGTGTTCTATAAGAAACTAAATCACATTTTCATAAATTCATATTTTTAATTTGATAAAAATTTATGTTATACAAATATATCGTTTTTTATATTTTACTTATTGTAACTTTTTGTTTGTAGAAATTACTCCTACAGCTGATCCAAATGTAGCTTTCAAAGATGTAGCTGCAGCCTTCCTTGTGGGATCAATGCCTCGAAAGGAAGGAATGGAAAGAAAAGATCTTCTGGCAGCTAATGCAGAGATTTTTAAAGTTCAAGGAAAAGCTCTAGATCAACATGCTCAAAAAGATGTTAAAGTCTTAGTTGTTGGTAATCCTGCTAATACAAATGCATGGATTTGTTCTCATCATGCACCTTCTATACCAAAAGAAAATTTTACTGCTATGACTAGATTGGATCAAAATCGTGCTCAAGCAGCTTTAGCAGCACGATTGAATGTATCGGTAATTAATTTTAGCATTACATTAAATATGAATTTGTACACTTTAATTTCTATACTAAATGAATAATATTTGCAAATAGGTTGATAAAGTAAAAAATGTTATTATCTGGGGTAATCACAGTTCAACTCAATATCCTGATGCTGCTCATGCTACTGTAAATCTTCAAGGTTCCACTAAGCCAGTGCCTTCAGTCGTAAATGATGATAACTGGTTAAATACTACTTTTGTGGAGAAAATTCAGAAACGTGGTGCAGCTGTGATTTCCGCCAGAAAGATGTCATCTGCAATGTCGGCTGCTAAAGCAGCTGGAGATCACATGAGGGATTGGTGGATAGGTACCAAACCAGGCGAATGGGTTAGCATGGGTGTGTTGTCTGATGGCAGTTATGGAATTCCAAGAGATATCGTTTTTTCTTTCCCAGTTGCTATAGAAAATGGACAATACAAAATTGTTCAAGTAAATATTTCTTTATATTATTTTTGGTATTTAGATATATTTTGTAAGCCAAAAAAAATAACTTACATTGACTTTTTTTAGGGACTTGCAATCAATGACTTTGCTAGATCGAAGTTAAATATTACTTCCAAAGAATTAGAGGAAGAACGTACAGAAGCAAATAATGTGCTACAAAACAAGTGACTAGAATCAGTAAATCATGATGTTGAAAATGGCTTGTCTGTTTCAGCAAAATTGTAAAAAACAAAATAAAAATTTTGATGGTAAATTGTGATATGTAACATACTATGATTACGGTCGTATGGAATTCATAATTTTAAGATAATAACAATATGTTAGTATATATTAATGATACACGATGTAGGATCCGAAATGTCTATATATCTTTTCTAACTAGTACAGGAATTGTTAAATATATATGTTTATATTCATAAACTGTATAAAACATGTAACAAATTATGTTGAAAAACATATTATACTTTATAACGTTTTTTTTTTTTTGTTTTATTCTTTCCCCAAGAATCAATAATAATTTATATTACAGTAATAGTAACTATTCCTCATATCGATATTATTAATCAATCTTTTCACATTTATATTATTTTCATATCTTTGTCTAAACACTATTATTACAAGTATACTGGTTTCCGCCTATAATTATAATTATTGAGTGAGCATTAAGTAGCATATTGTACAAAGATGCAGAGTGCTCAGCTTGCCAAGTCTTCATAACGGTTTCATTCGTATTTTCTGTTTCGTGTATTATTAGACACTCGCGTATCTTTATAAACATGGTGATGCATTGATATTTAGTTAAAAGAACAAATATTTGAAGCTGTGAAAATTGGTCTAGATGCTAAAAACATCGTTTTCATTATGATAGATAAAAACTTAGCACTTTGCACAAGTCAATTTTGATTCACATCTTATGCATTTTTATATCACTTTATATACGTGAGAGGCATTCTGATAAAGAAAATAAAACTTTCATTAAAGATGCCTCTGTTTCTTTTTTACATATGAATCACTTTCCAAGTACAACAATATTTCATAAAGAAGACAATACGAACATTCGTTTTAAAATGAGGAACTATAAAGTTTTTGTTCCACAAGGACAGCAAATATACTTGAAAACACTCGCGTAAATTACATTTGTTGAGAAAATACAATTTCTATTGTATTTGGACAAAATTTATAATATAGTTATGGCCAATACCTGGAACGGATAATCTGCGTTATTAAATTATATGTTAACTTTTTTTTATATTAAATAGCGTATAGTATTGTTTTACAGCACATTTCACAACATTAATTTATAATTAAATATTAACTCATATTATAAGACAATTATAATATCAGTTCACATAATGAAATTTATAATACATAACATGAAATAATAAAGAAATAATTTATTATACGTAAATTATGGATTTTCATTATTAAATAAACAAATTTAAATATTAAATATTATATAACATTACATGTTTAAGTATTTATGATATGTTGTGAATTTTTATTAATTTATTTGAAATAATTATGAATATTATAAATATTTCCGTTCCAGGTTGTATTAAATTGTTTTTGTAAATCTATACTGATTTTTATTGGACAATTGTTTTAGCTTTGTGTAAATAACATCAAGACAAAATTCGATTTTTGCGTATAGATTACATAATGTAATCTGTAAAGCAAAGATCGATTCGCACATTTTAAGAGCGAGTATATCTGACTACGTTATCGTAGCAGTTCCTTGCCTGAGCAGAAACGAGATTAATTTAAATGAAATCCTCTCTCTCTAGTTGCCGCCAAGAGTCTTTCTTTAAGTATTTCTTCAGTAGGATATTCCGGCAATTTTAAATAGTGAACACAGGTGTTAACAGAGGGATAACCACCTGAACCAGCATCTACTTTTCGCACAACAGTCAATCTAGGATGTAAATTACATAATCCCCCAGGAGGTAAAGCTGAACATCCAGTAGCAAATTGTAAGAAAGCCTTTCTTTCTGGACCGGTCAACGAAAGTAAAACATTGACAAATCTTTGGAAACCAGGACTACAACAGTAAAAAAGATATATTTAGTACAATAGAGTGTGCAATAATTAACTTATCTACATGTACTTTTAATATTCTTACCTTTCTCTTGTGTAGCCCAGTTTTGGTTCAGTATAATTTAACAAATCTTCTCTAGTCCATTGTGGGTTCTGTTCTCCACAAAGCATAGCCCTTATTTCTTCAGGGCTGAAAGCATGAAGTTTTTCCATTGGGAAGACTTTTGAAAAACCAGATTTAAACGATTCTAGTTGTCTTGAAATTCCTCGATCAAGACAGAAATTAATTGTCGTCTCAGCATATTCTCTTGCATTTTCCATAGTAACTGAAGTCTCTGCACCTCCTTCTACTAATTCTACCTGATCATATGCAAAGATTTTGGAACTTGGAGAATATGTCATTGTCAAAGTTAAGTCTTCAATAGGCACTGACATTCCAGATGGATGAGTGATATTTAACGTCGTTTCTTCTTCGACAGAATTATGACTATCGGAAAGTGTTCTATCACGTTTGGAAATTGCCGTTTGTATCTCTTTTAAAAATTCACCTCTTACTGGATCAACAAGTACCAGATCTTCAATGTCTAATAATCCAGCATACCAAGAAGGTGGTTCTAACGAAGAATATGCTGTATCCGCTTCACCCTCTTCCGATATAAAACTGCTTGACATGCTTGAAGATATACTTTCTTGTGTTACACCACTAAGACCAATCTTTTCATTTACATTGTTTGTGATGTCACCATGACACATTAATTTTAGGAAAGGACGGGACAATGGTAAATCTACTAATCTATTATCCTGTAAAACTTTTGCCAAGAAGACACCCAAAAACCAAAAATATCGAACAGCACGATCACAAGCTACAGAATCTTGTGGTAAAGGAACAGGAAATAATCCGCTCGGTCGAGTTACATAATATCCTGGAGGTCGAATCTGATCTCCTGAAATTCGGGACTGATCCGTGTCAGGTGAGTCTTCATCATCACATAACCATAAACCTAAGTCTTTCCGTTGTAATTCAGCAGCAACTAATGCAAAGAACTCTAATGTAGGTCCAAGACCAGTTCCTTCTTCGCCAACAAATTCCACTTCTAATATACTCTTCCGGCTTGCGTGTACCTGCAATATAAAATAGAATTTCAACTTTCTCACTGCATCCTCTATTCCAATACAAATAATGTATAACATTATAAATATTAAATTCAATTAACAAGTTACCTTCATTACTTGTTCTGCCCAGTCTAATAATTTCTCTCCCCTAGGTACACTAACTCTTTCGTGTTTAAGTCTACCAACGCGGAATTCATGAATATCATCACGTCGTGGGCTTAAACCTGGTGCCCTTTGTCTTTCGAGAACAGCGTCCCTTTGTGTTTGAAGCCACACAATGGATCGCGAAGCTCCGAAGGCAGTACAACTAAAATACAGTCGTCTAGTTTCGAAGGGTAATAAAAAGGGACAACTTCTTGCTAGTTCTTCACACCAATTTGGCAAAGCTCCAGCAGCTAATGCTAGAGGATCTTGAATTTGTTGCACTATTTTGTTCGTAATCTTCTTTGAAGTAAAATCATCTGGATGAACCCAACATGTTGATTCCTCAAGTTCTTCATAATCGATATGTTTACCGTCATCGCGGGTAGTGCTTAACACATAAACATGCCTCAGTAATTGCAATACATCCTCTACACTGCATACTGAAGAATTTTGAGCTGTATTACGAGAATATAATGTAACAACTGGTGTTGCCCTTCCAGATGATTCTTCGTCCTTTGCTTCTTTATATATTATTCTATAAAGAAAGAAGCACAATATGTAATTATGAATATTTAATTTTGCACACTATATTAAAAAATAAATATATTACGTGTAAGTTGGTTCCCATATTCTTCTTAGTTTTTCTTGTCGACTACCTAATTCTGTTAGTTGCATTAATTCTTGTACTTGCTGGAAAATACTAGCGTGTGGTTCCGTGAGTGCTAGTTCAACGTCCGATACTCCAGGAAGACCTGGTCCCTTTAGTGTTAAAGAAAGTCTTGGCATTGGTAAGGAACCTGAACGTGTATTTGACTGAGTTTCGCTACCAGGTGGTGGAATTTCCAGATCTGTAGTCTGTAAAATATTTCATTGTCACATATATCAAATATAGCATTGTCATTACAATCATTTAAATGTCTTAATATTTTTATTCAGTTTACCTGATTAATATTAGTTCGTCCAGGCCGTGGGTCAAAAGCAGGAATCAGAGCAGAGAATTGTCGTTTTAAAACAAACTCATCGTCCCATGCACGTCTCTTACTATTTTGAGGAGTTTCTTCTTCCACAAATGCTGCCAGGAGATTGCGACTTACCATTACATCTTCATAATCACCATCGCAACCTTCTCCTTCCTCTTCATTTTCTTCATCATCTTCCTATAAAAAAAAAGAACACACAAAGAATAAATATTCATTCTTTTACACTAAAATAAAACAATTTTTGTCAACGTACTTCTTGATCATTTTCATCGTTGTCTTCTTCTTCTTCAAGAACACCGTCTTCATCATCTTCTAATTCAGTTAAAAGAGTTGGTCCACCTGTTGTTCTACCTCCACTAGCACTAGAACTTGCAATACCTCCACAAGATTCCAAAAAGTCTTCAAGACTAACCTGTAGCCATAACTGCTTATTACATTATATAGAATTATATACTTCACTTTAGATTCTGTACTCATAATATATAGTAAATACTTTTTTGATAATAAAAACGTTTCTAATATAATTTTCATAGTAATTTCTTGTTAGATATTAAGTTTTACCTGTTCACTATCACTACTTGTACTAGTCAATGACATTGTAAGTGCTTGTCCTAGGCCGGGTCCAGTCGTTGTAGTAACACCACTTCCAGCTACTTGACCACTGCTGGTTAAACTTGGATAACTTTGGGCAGTACTAAGTAAACCCCCAGGAAAATTAGGACTCAAAGCAAGTCGAACTAAACTTGATACAGAATTAGGTCCACGTGAATTTGAACCAGTATTAGAATTGGAAGCAATATGTTGTCCACCTGTAGGTCCTAAAAGAATTTTTTTTAGTGACTTATGTTGCTAATTTAGTAGCAAACAAGCATTATATAAAATACAATTAAAAAATTAAGTTATTCATACATAAATATCATTGTTATTCATATATAAATATCATTAAACAAAATTACATAGACACTAACCCAATGTTCGTCTTCGTGCCATTGCAGTAAAGGTTTCTAGTAAACCAGTTGCAGTTGTTGGTTCCAAAGTATTGTTAGCATCAGAACAAGCAAGGTTAGGAACAGATACAGACATAGGATTGGTAACGACAACAGGACATCCACCTGCTGTATTTTGTGTTGATGAGCTAGCTTCTTTGTCCCGACTACATTCTTTGGCAGCTGGTTAGAGGAAACATGATTGTAAATAACAAAAAAGAAGCAAAAAAATTTTCACAAGTTATAAAAATTTTAATGTAGAATTAGAATTTTAACATTTTTTTATATATATTGCACAATTATTTTATGAAAAAAAGAAAACAATGGCGCGCATAAACGAAGCCATGATTAATAATAATTATCATACCATCGGTAATTCCGGAGTGATGCCTCTGTACAGATTTAATCCTTAATGAATTTTCTTCTAGTTCACCCGACACACTGATTCTAACAGGCACTAAACTAAGTAATTCTCCACTCAAAAAGCTATTAGTATTATTGCGTAATCTGTCAGCTCCTTCTCTGACACGATCTAACACTTCGGTAGCCTCAAGACTCAATAAACCTGATCCTGGCTGTAAAAGTATTTTAAATTAAAAAGGACTGAAAACATCATACAATTATTTTAATAAGTATGCGAGTGCACACCTTATTTCCTCGCACGGTTGCAAAAAATGGTTTTGAACTACTAGACGCGCGATTGCTGTTACTGTTGGCAGGACAATCTGTGTTAAGGGCAAGACTCTCAACAATTGTTGCCAGATCACTTGTCACAGTAGTGTCAGGCCTGGGATGTAATACAACGGACAATTCGCTCGTTGAATTTGCCCCACCTTCACCGGTTACAGCAACAACCGCCTCAGCACGAGCAACCGATAACACATTTTCTGCTATCGATTCAACGGCTTGCTGCTTATCATAAATACGAAATTGATACTAGATTAGACAAATAATTTTCTACTTCAATTAATAGTAACATGTCTTAACACTTTAAGCAAAACACGCACATGATAAATGACATATAAAATAATAAATATTTTAAAATTTATACCTTAACTGCTAAATTATCCGCGCTTGCTGCTTGATCTGTAGAAGCTACTGACCCACGCATTGCAGTATCAGTACAATCTGGTAAACTAGGTGTGCTACTAGATTTTCGTCCAGTTAAAACTCCGCCACCATTTTTACTTTTCGTTCCGTTATCTGCATCGAGACCAGTACCAACTAATCTTAAGTCATATTTTCCTTCTGCACCCATTCTATAAGAATTGGAACCACCATGATCCCATGTTACATCTATCCAACCATTATGCAATTCCCCTGTTACTGTGCCTTCACCTAAAATAAGGAACTTTTATTAGTCTAAACAATAATTGAATGAAAATAACATTTAATCAATCAATTTCATGTTATTACAAACATACCCGGGGGAACACCATCTTGATCTCTCCATTTCCAATCCAAACCTCTAGCCACTCGAGCGCCAGCTACTAAATGACGAAGAACTTGAGCTTTAATTAACCTCCTCTGTTTTCGAACTCCAGCTTCAGCTTCTCTAGCTGCTCGTCCCAAATCTTCGCAAACTCCTGTAACTTCTCCGTAAACTTCAAATCCGGATACAGATAAATAATGTGTTTGACCTGAAGCATTCTTTCCAATTTGTTGTAATCTTAAATGACGCCATCCCTGCGTCTCATCGACTGGTGGCTCCAACGTCCAAGTAGCTGTGCTACCAGGCTCGTTCAATGACGAATCATCTACATGAGCGTATAACGTTGTCCAAATGATACCATCTTTTGATGCTTGAAACATCCAATTTCGCAAGGCACTTCTACCATAGCCTCTTGCGTGTCTCAATGTATAAGCGCTCGGAATAATCCAAACTCCTAAATCAATTGAAAACCATGCACGCCTGTCGTCATTTGTATGACAATTTAATGCTGACGGATCTCGACTTAAGATATCTTCAAGATGGCCGTATGGAAGATTTCTTCCATTACTCGAAGTAACAACAACTAAACCATATTGACCGGGATTAACCCATTCAGTACAAGTTTTTGCGTTTGTACCGATCCAATACAACAATCCGTTTTCATCGAAATCATACTGATATCTGAAAGTTATTCTATTTCTATCTTTTAATTTCTTAACAAATGTAAACGTTGACCTATCATGATCATGCCATTGCTTCGCTACCATTTTCAATAAATGGTTTTCTAACTGTTGTATAGTACTTAGTGGTTCCATTTTTAAACTCCGACCAGACCTATCGATTAGAGAGCTTTCACCAGCTGCCTTTTCCAATCGGAAACGTAATCTTCTCGTTAAGATTTGTAAACCATAACCTGAGCCTGGTGTATCATATAAGTACACAGGTAATTTTTCAATAGATTCTAAAACTGAAACCAGCTTATGGACTAGAATTTTAGCAGAATTATGCTCTTTATTGGCGTCTTTTGAATGGAAACAATTTTTAAATACTGCTATTCTTTGCATTCTGAGTTTCGTTGCCCGTAATGTAGGAGGTTGTGGTCCTGGTGGAGCGGCTAATAACGAAAGTAAAGTTTGCACAAGTCCGCTTGAGTGAAGTTCGTACGCAGAAACTCTTCCTTCCTCATTTAACAAATCCTTAAGTTCTTCTAATGCACTTTGTAATATATTACGCCATTCTCGATTTCCTGACTGTTGTTTTTGACAAGCTTTTTCTATCTGACTAACAATGGTTCCTAATTTAGCAACTACTCCACGTGGCTGAGCCTGCGCAGCCTTAAAATAACATTCATAAATATCCTGAGCTTGTACTTTAACTTTTTGTTTGATAGCTTCGATTTTAGATCTCAATCTTTTTCCTCTTTTACCAGCCCAACCTGCTGCAAATTCTGGACCTAAAAAGACAATAAAATACTTATTTTCCATAACAAACAAAATACTTAGTATTAACATTAATTTATTTATATTAATATATAAATAAAAACTGAATGTTTACCCAAACTTGTCTCTGCTGTAAAGGAATGCTTGGTACCACGATTCGATTCAAAAATAAATCCTGGTAAGTCTTCTCGTAAAATTGTCGCTTGTTGCTGACCGTCGCTATTATGTATACACAACTCACTTTCTTTTCTACTAGATAATGCCCAATTTCCTACAACTAGGCGGGTCGTACCAGGGCGTGAAAGTACAGGCTGACTCACAGAATTTGGTTTGACTTGACTTCGCGCTCTTTGTAACTTTTCCAAAAACTCGCCACGGTTTTCTGCAAAGTATGCGTTCTAATAATTGATACAGTTAACATAACTACGAGTGGTGTAAAGATTTTTAATGAACCGAATAATGTTGTGGCAGAGAATGTTTAAGATCATACAGAAATAAAGAAATCTTCATGCGATTGATGACGTATATTGAAGGGTACGATAGCGTGCATTAACTAGGAAAGTTTAACATGTGTGTACCTACCTTCAGTGGTAAGCGACTCTGTGTTCCTCCCTTTTCCTGTAGGCAGTTAGTAAAACCAGTTATTTACTAAACTATTCCCCTCGCGGAAGTTAATCACAAATGAAAACGATATAACATAAAAAAGTGGTTCGAACAGAATCAATGTATCTGTCGCGAAGGGTGTGTGGAGGTGAAAAGAACACTTCAACAAGAAAGACAGTGGCAAGATGGACGAGATATATGTAAGTGATGAATTTTGCGTCGGTATTACGAAAAAAAAAAGAACGCACCTGACGTATCTGTTCCACCCTCTGGACTTCCGCTAGAATACATCGTTGCTAATTTTCCATCGAGTATAAATCTAAACCATCCATTACTTCCATTTGATAGCTCTAAGGCTGCTGCATCAGACCAGACATATAAGCAATCACGTCCTCTACAAATACACCAATCTCTCCAATGGTAAGCTCTTCCAATTAAAAGTTCTCTCGCATCTTCCATTCTTTGTTCTTCAGACTGATTTGATTCTGCCTCTGGTTCTGGAGCAACCTCTTGCGGTCCAGCCAATGCGGCAACTTTTGAAAATACTCCCAAACGAGCAAAATGTTCTAGAAATTCATCTTTGCCTTTTATCATCAAATCTTGTATCATTTGCAAAACCACTAAGTGTCCATCCTCATCCTCCTATTAAGATTAAAATAAAGATATTTTAAATACAATTCTTTACAAATATCGAAAATCCAATTAAGTTAAACAAAGATTTCTGGTCCTTTTTTTCTTAATGCAAACTAAGTACACAATTTTTTATATAAGGTGTATATAATTCTTTTATCCAGTCATACTTTGTATGGCACGAATATAACAGCACAAATTCATTTATGAGTAAAATGATTACGCGATCCATTGAAATCACAAGCAAATACCCATTAATCCCATCAGCAGCAGGCAGACAGTCAATAGAAGTGGACAACCAGCTTTGTGTCTAATCTATCATAATTAACACCTGTTTAGAGCAATTTTACTGGCCATTCACTGAAAGATTTACGTGTCTTTTACTGTTATTATTTATAAAATTTATACCTTAATTATCTTCGTGTGTCACATTCTGTAGTAAAGAACAAATTGCACGTTGACTCTATATATTAACGTAAATAGTACTTTTTGATATTTGAATGTTTATAAAATTTTCAAATCAGCAAAGGAATGTAAAACATGCGCATATTAGTTAGATCTCACCCTTTATATAGATTGTGTCATAAATACATTATGTTAATAATAAATGAAATCTTTACATAATTATTAATGAGATCAGTAAAAAGATAGTGGGATTTACGAATAGCATATAGGGGGCACAAAGGACATTTCAACTAGAGACTGGCAAATATACAACAGACGTTACCGTCTTATCAACAATGTAGTTCAGGGAACTGGAAGACTTGCGTGATGCGAGACAACGCAATTTTGGGCCAATTATCGGCTTGAGAGGCGAAGGTGGTGGTGGTGATGTTTTTATCTCAAGTTCCTGTGAACAATCTTAACTAAATCACTAGCATTGTCTGCCTTGCTGCCTGTCTGCCTGCATGAATACTAAAGATTTTAAAACATTCATTAATTCCGTAAGATACTATTTTGTGTTTATTTCATAGGACCTAAAAAATTCGTATAAACTAAAAAAAAAAAAATTTATATAAAAGATATTGTATGTTTACCTCGTTGTCCAATACATTGGCAATTACTTCTACAAGCATAGCACCACAACTTCCCATTCTATCAGAACCACATGTTTCTATAAGTAATTCTGGTTGAATGTAATGCACCATTTTTCTGATTAAACTTAAACTCGCTTTCCTAACGCTTGGTAACATAGAAGATTGAAATGTTGCACAAAATACTGGCAACAATCTTTTCAAATATACTGGAGCCATTTCAGGATCACCTTTTGGTTCTGTAAATTCTGCTTCTGTTTCTGGCTTTCTATGTTCTTGATTTGGTAACATCCATTCTCCAGGAGATTGTAATATAGCAGCCACTTCTCTATGCCCTTCATCTACACGTTCCCTGGCTTTATCCAACGGTGTTTTTCCATCTTCATCTCGTAAATCAGGATTCGCTCCATGCCTAAGCAATACTTTAGCAATAGCTGGTCTTCCAAAACAAGCAGCATAATGCAAACTGGACGATCTTTGACCTTTATTAACATCTGCTCCTCTATCACACAAAAATTCAACCATTTCTTGTGTGCCAAATGCGGACGCCCAATTAAGCAATGTTTGTCCAACATCATCCATAAAATTAACTCCAATGCCTCCAGAATCTATAGCTTCTATTAACGCATCCGTGTCTTTCGATCGAATACAATCAATCAATTGTCTGTGAGATTTCTCTCCAGCGCTTTCTGGTCGCCTAAATCGAGGTAACACAGGGCCGGATGGACCTCCACTTGTATTGCGGCCTAATGCTGACCTTCCTTCGAATAGTAAAACTAATAATAAATCAACTAATCTCATGGAATCAAGCGCACATCTTTCATCTCCTTTTAAAGCTTTTTCTATCGCGTCTGGCAATTCAGAACGTAAAAGGTCATGAGTTATAGAAGGTGATCCCCTACAAAGTGTTGATAGAAGACTAATTATAGTAGAAACAGATGCACAAGAATTCGCTTCAGGAGTAGGAAGTGTTGCAGCTGTATTAGACGGTGGAGGTGTTTTTGGATTTCCAGAAGTAGTTGCTATTGATGTACCAGGCCCTGCAGCATTTGATAACCTGTGAATAAACAAATAGGAGGTTATAATATTCTTAATTTTTATCTATATATGATTTAATAAATATCTAAACAAGATTTATTATAAGACAATACCTATACAAAAGTTCAGAAACTAATCCATGAGAGGCTAATGGAGCAGGATCCGTATTTCTTCTTGAAAATCTATCAGCCAATGATGCAAAACAACGAAGTGCTCCATCAGCGACATGTGCATCTTCATGTCTAAGTAATGTTGATAAAGCTTCAACACAATCTGGCAAAGATTTATCTTGAGGTTCTACTTTTCCACACAAACGGGTAACCACAGCCATTGCTGAATGCAGTGTATCTCTGTGAACAAGAGCTCCATGCTCCCTAATAAAGCATAAAGCACATGGAAGGCCACCAGCTTCAAGCACAGCACCAGCTTCCCTTGCACAGACAAGTTCCAGTGCCTATAATAATATATATAATATATGCCAAATGTGTGTTGTTATATTTAACAGCAGTCAAGTAATATAATACCTTTATGCATTGTTCAGCCAGGTCCCTACTAGTTCTAGATCCTAATCCAGCTCCAGATAGGCGACTGCAAATAGCTTTCACAGCACCTTCCATAGCTATTACTCTTCGTATACATTCTGGTGATAAGTCAAAATAATATGTAATAGCTCTAGCTGTCACTTCTAAAACACTATCTGGTGCAAGTTCATCCAAAAAAATTCTACATAATGCAGGAAGAAATGTGCGTGGAGGACAGCTAAAATAAAAATACATCTTATTACATCTTATTCAGTTGAAACAATACACATTATTAATATTTTCAACATACCATTCAAAGCATCGATCAACATTATCAGACATGAGCAGTAACATGCATAATTGCTCTAAAGCAATTAACTGCATATCTCTTTCATCTCCTTGACCCATACTGAGCCATTCCAATAAAGTTTCGGGATCAACATCAGCCATCTGAATATAAATTATAGAAAAAAATTCTCAATATGAAAAAGATAAATTCTAATATGTATTGTAGTGATATTTATATAATCGTCAAGAAACAAAATAAAACTATGTTACATTTACAAATTTGCTTGATACATGACAAAACTTACCTTTAAAGTTTTATAGCACCAATTATCTAAATATATTTCAAACTGACAATCTGAAAACAAAATAAAAATAAGTTAAAACAGATTAAATTAAGATCAACATTAACCCTACTTAAAAATGCAAAAATAATAAATGTCATTGGAAAATGTCCAAAGCTATGCTATATATAATTCACAAAAGGAATAGAGAATACAAGAAAAAGCAGAAACAAATGCATGAAACTTCTTATTGTACATCTATATATTGAGAATTACATTGATAGCATTCTCCCTCTTCAATTTATGGATAATGAAACACAACTCAACAAAAATTCAGCTATGTAAATATCCGCGCAAATCGTTTATGAATAGCGATTAAAGAAATAACATATGCAAGGAACAAGAACACGTGGTTACAAATCTAATATTGTATTGTTATACTGATATTTGTCGTCAAAGCACGAAGAAAGATGAAAAAGTTTGCATGACGGCTGTAAGTAAGCGTGACACACTATCTTAATAACACTATGTAACCTTCAGAAGAATAGTTGCTGTGCAAGTGTACACTATGAATTCAATATGCATAATAATTGTCTGTAGTTTAATAGATACGACCTGCTTTAGTAGAGAAACGTACCGTTGTGCACAGTATTCCATTATTCGGAAGGGGTCAGGTCGCCATCCTTCCAAAGACGTGTCGTTTTCCACTGCGAAAAACAACGTAACAATGTCGTCGCGCTTGGTCCGTCAGTGACACGAAAAGTTTACCGCACTAACGGACCAATAAGATACTCCTCCGCGCAGAAAGACTCACTTTGTCCTAGTGTCGTAGCATATATTTCGCCATTTACGCGACGTTCAGTATAGGTAGGTATCACAACTCGCAACTCTCCTAAGTCATGTTTCCATAAGCGCGCACGTCGACGGACGCATTACTGGCAGATTTTCATGAAATTTCGCACAATTTCATACATTTATGTACGTGTTGACAATCATTTGGTACTGCTCCTCTAGAGAGCAGCACTGTCCCTTTAGCTCTTTTCCTTAGGACCCCTAGTCTTTTCTTTTTTTTTTTTTTTTTATTGATATATTCTACATATACAACAATCTATATAGTAATAAGAAAGAATTTATATTTGTAACAAAATTTATGGCAAAAATAAATTGTACATTTCTTTTTACACAGTTTCACTGATGCGCCTTATTTTTACTTAATTAAGAGCTAACTCTTCAGCGAAAGTTACTAAAATAACATATCTTAATATAATATTATTAATATCATAATATATCAAATTAAATTGTATTATTTCCTCGTAATTTTACAACGGCTTTTTCTCTTGCACTCCTTTGCTAAAACAACAATTGTAAAAATAACAATTTTAAAGTCATTCATATGATATTTTTGTACATATGAACATTACTTAAATACATATATGTGTATTACCTTGTCTTTCTTTTATAATTTCTTTTCTCCTTTCTTTAAACTTAATAGATAAATTTTCTATCATACTTTCAATAAAATTATCTAGAGCTAATGGTCTATTCATTGTTGATATCGGTGTTCTACATATTGGACATTCCTTTTTCTTTTTGTTCCATAAATGTATACAATGATTACAAAATGTGTGCATACAATTTAATGTTGTCGCTTTCACAAATAATTCTGAACATATACTACAAGTTAATTGTTCATCCATTATATCATTAACTTTTTTAAGTACACTTTCTTTTTTTTCCGTGTCTATGATAGGTTGAGTAGCATCTGTTATATCTATTTTGTCTATAATTTGATAATGTGAAGGATCATTTACAATTTCTATAAATATACAACTATCACTAGAATTTTCGGAAGTCCCTGCAACTATATATAGAAAATGATAAGTTTATTATAATTAATTAAAGTATTTCATATTTTTATTATAAAAAAAGATGTGTACCATTATTCTGTACTGTTCCTTTTGCTTCTTGTTCTTTTAAAGCCCTTTCTGTTTCTTTTAATTTTTCCTCTAAAAGTATCTTTTCATTTACTAATTGAGCTTGTATACTTTTTTCTTCCTTAACTTTATTCTCCATCACATTTTTCCATTCTGCTTGTTGCTCTTCTCTCCATTTTTTCATTTGCTCTTTCATTTTCATTTCCAACATTTCTTTTTCGAGTTTACTTACATTTAATGCCTCTTGCCATTTTTGTTTTTCTTCATTCAATTTTCTTTCAAATTCAATCCGTTCGTTCTCCAATTTCTCTAACAATTCAGCATACATATGTTTTATATATTGCTCTTGAACATCGCCATGTTCTATTTTCTTCTCCAACACTGTAATTTGTCTTTTCAGATCTTCAGTATCTTCTTTTGTAATATCTTGTTGCTTTAAAAGCTGCTCTAATTGTTGCTTTAAATTATCTTGTTCCTTTTGTTTTATTTGTAATTTGTCTTTAAGAATTTTCTTTTGACATTCTTGACTTTCTGCAAATGTCTTTTGCTCTATAAGAACATTGTCCAACACTTGTTCATCTAATTTAAGCTTTTTAATTTTATGCTCATCGTCAGTACCAATAATAAACAGATATTTAAATTCTTCAGATGTGCTAAATTGTACAATATCTCCGTTATTGAGTTTTCGACTTTCACCAAAAATTAGAGGAACATCGTTAACAAATGTAGCAGAAGAACTTATGTCCTTAATCATCCATTCTTTATTTCCTTCGTGTCTTATAATACAATGCTTTCGAGATATTATTGCATCCAAAATAATTTCATCGTTATCTCTTGCACGACCTATTCTAAACTATTAAAGAAATTTTTAATTCATATTATTAAAAAGAGAGACTCAATTTTAAAAACATAGACGAAGATACATATTTATCAAAATACCTCATTTTTATCAATATGAATATTAGGAGGAGCACAACTCTGTTTATTAATTCTCACTAAAGTAGGTTGAAGTAATCCTTCATCTGAATCGTCCAATATTACTCTTTTTTCTACTTTCGAACCTTCCATTGTTCATAGTTACTCTTTCACAAAAGGACAAATTACCAAGAAGCATGGAATAATAAATATTCTTTTTTAATTATATTTGCTTTTTTTAAATTGTTTATTATAAGCGTAGAAAAATGGATTCAAAATTTTTGATTGAATTTCTTGTAAACACAAAAATGAACTGTACACAAACTGTACACGTGCAAACGACATCTCGCGGTAAATTTTGACTAACGTAATTGATAATAAAGAACACAATGTTCTTACAAACATTATGGCAAATATCTTTAAACATAAAATTATTAAATAAAAAAGAATATATGGAAATATTAGTATACAAATAAATGAGTTTCCAAATAAGAATACATAACACACACACACATATATATATATATATATGTATATAAATGTGTATATACATATGTATAATATATATAACATAGATATTTATATAAATAAAATACCAATATTTAAAAGATCATGTTCAAATAATCATTAACTTATAAGTTAATTATGAAATGAGAAATAGAACTATTGATCAGATTTACTTTAATTCAGATAATATTTATTTGATAGGTATATAATACATTGAATTTGCCAGCACAAGTGAGAGAAAACACTTCTCGGCGACTAATACTTGCTTGTTCTTATATTCGACACTTTCCAATTAGTCCTACACTACTGCTACCGAACATACTTTTCCTCTTGTCCATGGAACGGAGTTTCTTTTTTCTTTTGTTTTCTTTAAATATCAACTCTTTACCCAACCGATTATTTTTTCACATAACGATTGGTTTACAAGTCACAGTTGAAATAGCATAATCTGGTAGATTTGGTTGCGTAAAAAGGAGTACAGACAAATGTATCAATTCATCAATATTTATCAATTAAAATATGTACATTACGAATATTATTAACTTGCTCTTTTTACGTCAGAAATATATTGCAAATATAAAATAATTCTTTGCATAAGCGTATTACAACCAAATGAAATTTCAGCGTTACAAAAATCTTAATTTTGACAATAACTGGTTATCATGTTTTAAAAGACTGACAAGTAATTAATTTAATGCAACCAACCATAATAATCGTATTGTTCGGTAAGCTGCATATCAATGACGAATAGCTTTCTTCAATAAGCATAGTGAATTGCTCATCGATTCAATTTTTTTTTTTTTCGAGAACAGGATCGATTTGACAGTCGTTGTCTATTTACAATATTTGCGATAAAGACTAATTAATTTATAAACATCGTTGTTATTTATGTACAGATGTAATATAAACGCATCATACCTTATATAAAATGGACATGTGTAAAAGTGCCGCGAATTAAACAAACAGTGACCCGATTCAACTCGGTTTTGAAAAATACATGGCTTGTAGTTGCCAGTAGCCCGTAACGTCTACATCAAAACTGACAAACAATTTTCGAACGAAATTAGTCGAACTTTTACGCGCATTTTTTCTATCTGAAGGATAATAAAATACAAATATTTTTTCTATCTGAAGGATAATAAAATACAAATATCAAAACGTAATTTAATTTTGCTCTATTCACCTCTTATATGAAACAAACACAAAAAGGAAAAATGTAACAAGATTCTTAGTACCTATGATCGCAAAAAAAGAACTTTGTTATTACAATATATATATTATACATATATGCGTATATATATATATATATATATAGACGCAAATATTTAAAATAAAATTGTTTAAACATGTATGTAGCAAGCTATTTATTGTGCGCGATCTCTCATGTATTGAAATCTCTGAAACAAGGGAAGAGCAAATTCGATGCGAAGATACAGAGGTCGGTCTAGTAATCGTGGTATCACAAAGAGTCATAATTTGAAAAAATATCGTAACACCATAAAAATCGTTCATCTACTCTAAACACGTAAATAAAAACCAACTTCTTTATCTTCAACCGATTTGACCAATTACATAATCACGACGAAATATCATCAAAAGTGGTAAGGACACACTTTCCATCTGTTCGCGATCGAACACAATGTACAGTCACAGGTACAGAAGTAATAGAAAAAGTGCGCGTACAATGTTTGAAATAACCGTATAAACATTCATTTGCATAAAAGGATATTGCATTACTCTCGGGAATACTTGGAGTAATTGCCACAAAATCATTATGGAATTGTCGAGTAAATTTATTCCAATCGAATTACATTAACCCTTCGCAATCGAAATGTTAGGTGCTAAGCGAGAGGATCGCGAGAGCGTTACTTGATTGGTTTACCCCAAGCAAACTGTATCGGTAATGGAGGAATATCGCTACTCGTGGACGATTCGTCCTCGCTACTCGTGGCAGACGTCTCTTCTGAAATCATTGCTTCACCACCTGCTTCCTGAGGCCTTTGTCCTGCGCCACAATCTTCGGCGGCTGCGGCAGCTGCAGCCGCGGCTGCAACAGCAACGGCCATTGCAGAATTCGTGGTTACTGCCGTCGCAGAGGAAGATGACGATGAAGAAGTAGACGAGGCAGAAGAAGACGGATCGCTTCTGGGTCTTCGTCGAGTATTTGGCGTAGAATTAAACGTAGGCGACCAATGGGAATCCTCTACTTGTGCGGAATCCGTAATAGAAATACTTTTGGACCTTGCTCTCATATCTACGGAAGGTCTTCTGGATGTCAATCGGAGTGATCCCTGTCTCGACACTGCTGTCGTTGTTTCCGATCTACCCATTTTAGGTGGCGTTGCTAATGACGGCGTGTCCGATGCACCTTTTGAAAATTCATCATCGATTTCTAACGTCCACGAAACCGAATCGCCCTTCTCCACCATAAACTTAACCATGGATGATGATTGTGGACCGTTCTTGTCGGGTGAAAGACTGTGTTCGACGTGCTCCGGGCCTAAAGAACGAGAAAGCCTAGGCGTCAGATTCGCAAGAACGGTCACTACTTCGTTTTTTTGACGCAGTCTCCATTGCAGTTCCTCGTTACGTTGTGCCAAACGCTTATTCTGCTTGGATACTTGGTGAATCGACTCGTGTAGCATCTCGTTATCATGAGATATCTGCCTCTCCAAAGCTTCTTTGCACTGAAGTTGCGCCTTTAGATCTTCGCATCTGGCCTCGAGTGTGTCTACACGTTGTTGCAAAGCTTCCTTGTCCTCGATCTCTCGTTTAATGTTATCAAGATCCGATCTCAAAGTAGCGTTTTCTTGGCTTCGAATTTCTAGCACCGATCTTAAAGACTCTACTTCTGCGGTGAGCGCAGCCCCTTGATCGTGAACGACAGATCTTCTCTTAAACTCCGTTTCTTTTCGTATAAGTTCTGCTTCTTGCTCAGCTCGCAATTTCGTGACCGCGGCTCGATGCTCCTTTACGGCCTCGTTTAGAGAATCACGCAGCCTGACCTCGCATTTGCGCCTCTCCTCCTGCAGGGCTGCTTCCAATGTGGCAATTTGCTCCGCTTGTCGAGCTTCCACTGAGAAAATCGAAGACACATTTTTCTCTTAGCATGATTGACGTCATCAGGGGTAAATTGAAAAACGGAAGAAAAACAAAGTTAGAAGGCAAGAGAGAACGGATTAAGGCCTGTCGAACGTGCCAACCTATAATTAACTACGATGAACGTTACGTGGGCACTAAATTGAGCGTTTGTGAAGTTCGTGCCTGTGCCCACTTTTGAAAATTCTATCTCTGAATTATTTAACATAACCCGAGGTGGACGTAGGCACATCAGCCTCGCTGATTTTAATTAACAATTGCTCCACTTTAAAGCTCTACTATTCGCCACCGACATCAGGACCATTATGCTTGTTACCGAGGGAATATCATTATCATATGACATATTGTACCAGGCACAGAGTACATAAAATGTAAAATATACGTCGCGTCTATATTCGACTCAGGAAATACAACGTTGAAATAAAAAAAAATGTTATGATCAAAATGCGTTAAAAGTAAAAACGTAAAATTTTAGAAACTGCGTATTACGATGTAAAACGTATCGTATTGTATTGCTTTCTCACTTTCTCTAAGTAAAAGAAACACAAATAATTCTTGGCAAGGCTTACGATCTTCACGAAGCTGGTCCAAGGCTTTTCGATGATTCTCCCTCTCCGACTCGAGTCTATCTTCAATGCCGAGGTTTTTAGCTCTCAATTCCTCTACCTCCGTGCACAGAGACATCCATTCCTTTTTCATTTTTTCGTAATCTTTCTTTAGTTTTGGGGTAGAAAAGGCGTCCAACTGAAGATCAAATCGTTGAAAAAAAAGAATACAAGATTAGGTTAAATAATATATTCACAATAAAACGCGATTTAAAAAAAAAAAACCAAAAGCATTACATACCTCGTAGGCCAAATATTGTACAGTGATAGAAAGGGCTTGTACAATTTGTTCTGCCCGTTTTACATGAAATGCATCGTAAGGTATGTCGGTTTGTGCGGCCTGATCACGCGTCTCTAAGGACGCTCTTGTCATCACATAGTTGTTACTGTGCTCCTTAGTTTCGCGATCTGCAACCAATGCCACCGGTCCCATCACCATTATCACTCTTCATTAAAGTCGTAGCAGAAATTCAAATATCCGTCAAGTTGACACGCCCTTTCAACTCGATACATTTATTGATCACAGTGATTTTCGGCTATTGATCGTGCTTTCCTATCTGTTCCTTAAGTAATTCCATTGTTATCAATAGGAATAGCAGCTTCGACCACGATCATTCTTCGGCTTCGTACGGGTCGTCATGATGAAAGTTGAAGTAAACATCGAAGCAAATACAACACCGATGCCGTATGAAATTTACTACGTCCAGACATCTTATGCGAATAAATTTAGAAGAAAGTTGTATGGAAAACTCGTTCCAGGAGAGAAAACCGTTTATTTCCAGTCTTGGAAAGTCGAGCTACCTGTTTTTCAGGATATTTCAAACGTTCGACGCGATGAACTGACCCCTCAAATGTAATTATCGTGGTGACACGCGGGAAATTTGCATGCACTGATCGTTAAATCGTAACGACGATTTGGCCTGACTACGTCATTCGAGCTTCATCCTTCCATTATTGCTGATGTACGTGAAAGCACGCGGATACGTCCCCGTAGCCCCGCACCACCACTTCCATTCTATTCAGCACTTTGGACCAAGTTAAAAAAGAAGCGCAGCTGGTAAATCGTTCGAATTTGATCCGACAGTTCAGCCCGGTGCAAAAACACGTTCAAGAACACGAGCCAATGAATGAAGGCGCACTGGGTTAAGGTCAACTGTACGATAGTCGTCTGGTGAACACATAAAATCTAAGAAGTTGGTGGTAGTTTAATGACCATCTTAACGAGAACACATCGAAATCGCTTTATTACGAGTTCCCCCGAAGCAGATCGGATTATTTTCGGAACAGGACTACGCAATATCGAATACTTATCACTTCCACGTTTGTTTATACATAGGTGCAAGTCTGTTTCGTCGTTCAATCTATTCTCTCAACGTTGTGGCGTTCCTTCGACATTCTTCTCGTTGCAAAAAAATTCTTCGGACTACGTTACACTTCTTTATCAATGGAAAATATGTATTTTCCATCTATGTGAATCTCCTATCTATATGTCTATTCGCACAACAAGCTAGTTTCAAGTGGTTCGTACGAAATGATTCGGCTGAAAAATGCAAGTGAACTTGATCACATTGGAATCATTGAATAATGATAACGGAGCAACAAACATGAGAGAGACCTAATCGGGATCGTCATTTGTAACGATTTGCTGGCCAAGTCCGCACTTCGACTGAATTAGCACGAGCCACAGGCTGCCTCGCGGAGCGATATACCCCTCCTTCCTCTTTGTCGACCACTCCTACCACCTTGAAATAAGGTGCAACTCCTCGAGGAATACGAAGACGATGGACACGCGGAAAGTTGTATCTGGCCGGACACGCGCTCTACGCACGTTCGTACGCACGGCTTGAATGTGACCCACAATGCCTGCATATGTTTCCATAGTCGCTTCAATATCTCCCGCGTTTCCTTTGCAAAAGGGTAACCAAGAGGTGTAATTCACGCCAACATCGTCTTACTAAGAAATTAATACTGAAGCTCGGGCGCACCGCTAAATAACTGTCTATTGATTTATTTATCTCTCAGTTGTTCAAGTGAGTTTATGGTTCATGAAAACGAGGACGACTTAAAAATTCTGCTTCAACGGTACAGCTCGTACCAATGAGAAAAGGTGAAGTTATAGAAGATGAAAATTATCGGGTGAACGGATGATGAATTATTACGAAACGTCGTGCTCCGAATAAATCCGCTTTTCCATTTAGAATTGGTTACCCTTACATGGTGGTAGGTGGCCGTATTCGTATGAAACGGAGGTACATACGTGTCTGTGGATATAATGATTCGAAGATAATGATCCGAATGATCGACGATCGATAGCTCTCTTCCGCTAAGAGGAGTTTGCTAACAATTGTTGATTCCGCTCGTCAATATCGTTACGTGAATGTAATGATATATTGGAATTAGTATTTTGGCTAATGCCTGCGAAACACGTTTTTTCCACTACGATAGTCTTATTATCAATAATTAGCCAGACGCTGAGAGAATAGTATATAAATTGAAAAAAAAAACCTTTTTTTCCAACTCGTGATTTTTTGAAAGTAGAATAGCGAACGATATTTGTATTCCTTAAATTAAGTTTAGACAATAATCTCACTAAACCTCACCTCACAACAAATTAGACGAAACAATTTATCGAGATCTTAAGTATTTCCCTAATTTGTACGGCTTATCGATATATCTTCACGTAAGTGCTCTTCATAAATGATTAATACAACATAAATTAAATGAGGTACAAGACCATGACTCGTAGAAACTCGACTCACAATTCGATGTTTTCTAGGACAGAGACTGTCATTGATAATAATTTCTAATTTTAACAATTTGTTCCACATAAACGTACACGCGCCGAGGAAAAAAAAAAATGCACTGGAAGCGCATAATTAATAACAGGTCGAAATCGGCGAGAAATCAAGAACGAAACATTGATAAGAAATTTATCTTGAAAACAAAAATGCAAATCTCTCGAAATTATCTTTGAAACAGTCGGCTTACTTTTGCTCGACTTGTTCCCAATTCTCATTTCCTCTGATGTCTATTCTCTACCGACTACCCAGCAGGTTTTTCAGCACCTTCCAGCGACGACAGGATTTAGTTTCGAGGACCAGTGAAAGCTATGACTTTCTTCGGAACAACGAGCAACACGGAGTGTGATACGCACGTGTGCGTCCTCGTGCATGCGGAGAAACGGCCGTACGCACCGCAAAATGACCGTGGGACTTTTTTAGAAACTAGCTGCTACCAGAGTAGCGCGGTCAATGAATTAGAAAGCACGACCTGCTGATGTTTCCTTCGCGGTGTTATCTTTTTCAAAAGGCAACACTGCGAAACCGCGTTCTTTTTTCACTTCGTAAAAATCAATATCTCATTGACACAAGTTGCAAAATTCACAGTATATTAAGCGATCTTAAAATAAAATGAACGAGTTATAAAAAAAACGCAACGTGAGGAACTATTTCTAAATACTTTGTAAAGTCGTACCTTTTATCGATGTCGTTGAACTATGTTGCTTCGCAGAGACAGTACTTATTCTCCTCGTTATTGTCGGTTTCCGCGTCGCCGAGGGACTCTTCTCTGGAAACAAAATTCGCTATGTTAACGAGAGCATTATACACGCTCACCGGTAGTGCCTTAAATGATGTGTTATCGAGTTTGCAAGTACCGTACGCTGCAAACCGTTTTACTGTCCGCGTACAGATAACGTACGCGTGAGTAGAAAGAGCACATTCACTCGAATGTAAAATAAATAGTATTTTAAAATGATATTTACTGGAATTCTTATAGAACAGAATTACTTCGCACATCTTCGATTACCGTCGCAAACTATATTCGGAAGTCTGGTTACGGCTAATAATTCTGATCACGAAGTTCTGTCATAAACAAAGTTGTTTGTAAATCACGTTCTTCTGGCGCGTACGAGACTAGTCGAGACCAGACTGAGTGGCACGTCGTACTTCTTCCGTTCAAAGTTGACGAAGTACTGCCGAAACATCAATGTGTTCGACGCAATCGAGGAAGTTAAACCGTCTGGCCTGCATTATTTAGGTCGCAGACAAAACCATTTTTGATTTTATAGTCATATTAATAGCCAATTCTCGCAAGAATTTTTAGCACCCTAAGACTTTCACAAATTTAAATCAATCTAAACAAATAGGATCTCGGATAATTGCTATTGTAAATGTCTCAAGTTCCTTCGTTTCGGAAGAAAAGATCTTTAACCTTCGGACGGCAGGTATAAAGACAATTCGAATCCTCCCTATACCGATCGAACATTAAGAACGAATAAATAAATCTATTGTTGTTGATTTACAAGGAGAAATAAGGATCTGAAATTACCAAGCATCGCCAGGGACATCAACAAATAACACATTATCTATTGACGGTACAACACATTGAAGAAATCGAATATGGCCGCTTGCCAATATTTTCAATGCTATCTCCGGATGAGAATAGATATATGTATATACTGCGAGAGTCGATATAGCGCAGAACGAGTACATATTTTCGCTAATTAATACGAACGAGTAAAGCTCGAGGAAGCGTAGAGGCAGGCGTTACAAGAAAAATCATTCTCCTCGTTGTACTAGCGTCTCCAACCGGAAGCACGCAGCGGTGCCCTCGACCTTTCGTTTCCTCTGTTCAATCAGTGAATAGCAGACATTTATGCATATACATATATATATATACGCTACGATATATGCAAACTCGTATCACAATTTAGGGTGCGCAAACCCTCTGTCACTTACCGAGATTGATGGGCGAAATTTCTACACAGTTCTTCTTCGTGTCGAAACTATTGACACGATTCTGCTGACTACCACGACCATTTGCTACCAGTCTTCTCGGTGGATTTACTGATGTCGGTGATCTCTCTGAAAATACAAAAATGAAAAAGTTAATTTCTTCATGTAAACGATGGAATAATGGTAATTTCAAATATCTCTCTCTCTCTCTCTCTCTCTCTCTCTCTCTCTCTCTCTCTCTCTCTCTCTCTCTT